ATCGTGTCCTGAAGTCCTCGCAATTTCGATGGATAGGGCTGAACAAATACGCTTATCTGAGCCTCTCCATGTACGTATTGACGGTGATGTTCAAACATCCGCTTCTCGCAGCCATTTGCTGTGCAAATGGCGTTTGCATTCTGGCAAATGTCCTCCACATATTGTCCAAGAGTACAGTCCGGCTCGAATATCGTATCGTCACCGTGCTCGTTATAGTACTCAAGAGCGAACAGATCTGGGCCGGAGCAGGGGATAGATGTGGTAGTGCAGACCAGACTAAAGAGCACGACTATATTCTGATGGGCGTATGGGTCGAAGAGACTGGAGGCGCCCGAGATGTATGCTTCCCATTGACGCTTTTGGGTCTGATAATGATGCAGGGCGTTGTCGTATTCGGCATCATGAGCCGCATGCAGAACTTCCTTGACTTTTGGAGGAGCATTCTGTGGAGATTGATGAACCATTTCAGGTGTTATGAGAATGAACTTTTGCAACTTGGCCTTCTCGTCTGAAGCTTGTTCGGAGCTGAGGTCCTGATCACGAAGACGCTTCAAATATGCGAGCCTTCGTTCCATTTCTCTAGCACGTTTAAGAAGGTAAGGAGGCTCAAACTTCACGAAAGGGGAAGCGGATAGGATTTTCGTCTCAGTATCTCGCACAATATCTTCATAATAAGTCGGCATGGGAACGTCATCGGGCACTTCTGTGCCATCTGTCGTAATAGTGGCCGTGCCGATAGAAGCTGGATCGCTTTTCTTCTCATCCAACCCTCCTTGGGAGCAGGACGGTATGGTAGTAGATTTGTCTTCTGATTTGATCATCGTAGATGATGTCCCAACATTGGCCGCTTCGTCAGCAGCATTTGAGGCGCTTTCTTCAATTGACGTAGGGATCTGGGCGAATTCGTCTCTCATCAAGCATGTTTCAAGCCTCAGATTATACACAACGTACACCATAAACTCTGTTATCCTTTTCACCTTTGCGAGCACATTATGGTCGCCTCCGCGAAGAACAATTGTGCAACCAAGCTCTTTGCGACAACCAGAGATGTACATATAGGTCTTCTTATGACCGTTGTACACGTATGTCTTGACATCGAAGCTGCCACAATCACTATGCACTGGAGTTGTCACGAGTTTATCCATAGAGGTTATGATCCTGGTTTGAGTACACCGAGAGACGGCTTCAAGCACGGACGATTTGACATTGTAAGCCGTCGCAATGTTGGCTTTTTCTAGCAGTTCAAGTGCCAAGCCAGATACATTTTTCTCAACCAGAAGTAAATTGGGCCGCAAAGCAGCTATCCGGCTGACGAGATTTTCGAGGAACTCTCGCTCTTGGCGAATAACGGGCTCTAGACTCATGAAGTGCTGCTGGTGACGAGCGTATTCAAGAGGGAATGTGATAATTAAGATCCGCGGATGGGGAATGCTTCGAGGCATGCTTTTGAGAGCGAGGTTCTTCGTAAACACTAAGCCTGACACGTAGGACGTGTCACCCGGGCGGCCGCCCAAGATCTTTTTAAGCTTAATATAGTGCCGAATGTCCATGTCATCGCCGTTCTGGACGTCTGGATCGACTTCATCGGCGGCTTTGAGGAGTATAGGCAGAAGTGCAGTCTCCCAACAGTTAGAGTGAGGCACGGAAGCATCCTTAAGCAGCTGGCGAAGGAGTTTGCGAACATGTTGCAGGCTAGCTTTATTCAACTCTACCGGGGGAGCCCCCGCTCCTCTCATCGATGAGCTTCTGGTCATCTTGAATCCGCTCGCTGTAACTCCAGTCGGAAAGACATGACCAGCATTTGTGGCATCATGTGGATTTGACACACTGTCCTTCGACGCTCTGGGAGAACGGCGGTGGATACTGCTTGCAACGCTGAGATTGCGCCGACGGGAAGCGCGTGGCAAATTAACAGCTCTCGAGCTGGCGAAACTACCTTCATCTCCATCACGCGCAGAGGTAATGAAGCTGGCAGCGCTGCGTTCTCCGAAAGCAGACCGACCCTTTTTCATGGCAGCCAAGAGGCCACCAAACGTCGTCCTTTCGCTGTCGCCTCCGCTCTTCGACAAAGAGCCCTCCGAGACTGCAGATAGCAAATTTGGTTGCTCATCCCCGCTCGATGCATCGTCAGAGAGATACTGCGCTAGGTCTGGGTCGATAATATTATCTTTGTGAAACGCAGGCAATCGAGCTCTCGCGGGGTTGTCTTCCAGAGTCCGCCGTTGAAAAGGCGCCCGATCATCGTGGAAAGGTTTGAAATTTCGAATGTATTGTTGGCGAGAGTGATGACGCTTGTGACCCATTGCATGCGGGCGTCCGTTCAGGGTTGATTTGAGGGATCTTGACGACGTAGGTCTCACCAAGGGTCGCTCTGGGCTGATTTCAAGCACGGCTGAACGGCGGTTATGGCCTTCCCCTGCGCGTCGCGTTGCTGGTATCGCCATCGTGGGCGTCTTCATAACGTGCTCGATGGATTGAGATATTATAGACGACGAGTCATCGTCATCGGCGGACGTTCGTGAATAATTGCCCAAGCCTAACTCGGACAGCCTGGGATTTAACACCATGGGGCTTTGTTCGCTATCTGAGAACTCGGAAGAATCGTCATCATGTCCGTTGATCATAGCTTCACAAGGCTTGCAAACACGGATCGATCCAGGTTGACCGAACCTGTCGCCTGATATCAAAAGGGTACACTTGGAGTCGAAAATCTGGCCACACGTCCGACAATGATGCTTTCGTCGAAATGTCGAAAAGGGTTCGCCGCAATGAAAACAATCTTTTGCATTCTCATCGCGCATCCAAAACTCTTTGCTGAGTAGCTTGCTCCTGAGTTGCGATACAACCCCATCACCTCCGGCATTTGGACGTTTACTTCGTCCATTTTGACCGGGAAAAGAGTCCACAGCGGTATTTATAGGCGCCAAAGCGGGATCAGTTGAGTGATTTTTGGACGTACCATAGGCCGAGAAGCGGCTTAGGCTGGTAATACCTGGTCTGTCCTCGGGTTTATCCTTGGCAGGAGCCTTTGACGACGCGCCTAATTTCGGATTCCCATCTATCAGCGACAAGGAGGTTGCGCCTGTAGATGGACCCTGAGAATTATGCAAGGAACCAGCCCTGTTACTAGGCAATTGAGATACGCTGGTCGTTCCAGAGCTCGCAGTTACCGAAGCGCGATCGGGGTTGAAAGAGGCGGCGGAGTTCGACCTGATTCTCTCTTGAGCGGATGACGTCCCCTCAACTTCTCCCTGCATGGTATGTTTCGTCGTTTGCGGCGGCACAGGCAATGAAGGCTCGAGATCATGTGAAGTACGCCGCTCTAGTCTCTTTGTAGTGTCGGATGGTTGACTTGTCAGCTTCGATTTGTTGCTGGAGTCTAATGCCGCATGTCCTTCGTTGGGCAGGTGGTGGGCCTTCGCCGAGAGTGCTGGGGAGTGGGTTAGTCGCTCGCTGAAACCGGACGAACTCATCGAAGGAACATAAGGATTCTCCTCTCTCTCAGTAGCTGTAGAGCCCACGGTCTGTAGGCTGCTGGAAGATACATTGACGGAAGTGTTGCTTGAGTAATGCGTGGGTTCCTTGACAGCACTAACATGAAGTTCAGTAACTGTCGGATCTACGGTTGCTGGATTGCTGGTAGATTTCGGCAAGGGTACGGTAGGGGATTTAAGTGCAGGCGAGGGAGAAACAGAGGCCTTGGAGGATATGCTTGCGGCTTTCGAGGAGAATTTTGAACCTTTCCCTGTAGGCAGATCGTGAGTGTTTTGAGAGCTGCCAGGCGTTGGAGATTGCAGCCTAGACCCCTGAGAGAAGCCTGGGTTGAATTGCTGAGCCTCAGCCATGGGACCTGTCGAATCAGCAGCGGACTTGGAAACTGAGCGCTCTGATGGTGGACTCTTGATTGCTGGACCGTCAGGAGCGCCTTTGTCCGACGCCTTCCCAACACCGCTGACAATGTCTCTCATTCCTCCTACAGAAGTTCGAAAACGGCTGTACAACCCACTCAAACCACCTTGCAGCTCTGCTGAAAGATTCTTTTCTTCTGTCGCGGAGGCCGGAACTGGAGGGCTAGTGAAATCATTGAACACGGTGAGAGAATCCGACTGATAGGCAGCCGTATGTATCTGGTCGAGGGCTGCATTCAGACTTTCCCGTTCAGCCTGGGTTGAGACGGAGGCTCGCGAACCTCGTCGCCCAAGGGGGAGGAAGATGGATGACGCGGATGGACTTGACGTCCCTTGAGACTGTTGATACGCCATCTGAGTTCCTTGTGTCCAAGCAGCGACGGCACTGTTGTTATACACTCAAAATATGAGACAACCGTCAGTCTAGCTTAGTATGTGCCAGATTTCGGAAATTCATGTGCGTGAGCTGCTGCAGAATAGCTCGCTGTGGTCCTGAGGCGCAACAGTGAGTGAAGCCTGTGAGGTAAGCATGGAGCCTGAGCTGATAGAGTGAGCATCATCCCAAGACGTGATTTACATCATGAACAGATATGGGACCAAAGGCAAGGATGACTATTTCATGGGAAATGTCAAGAGGAGGGAAGGAAGTTGATTGTTAACTGATGCTGTGTTTCTGTTGCTTTCCAACGATGCGGGCGGACATGTGCGCTGCTGCCCAATGACGTGGATGTGGCTGAGGCACTTTGTGGCTGGTGAAGTTTGCCGCTAAAGGTAGGCGGTCCTGCGCGCGGAACCCGCGTCAAGCATGAAAGGAATCATATTGTCCTGAATAATAATAGTGAATTAAGACCAAGAGACCATGGTCAGTCTGTTTTTATACAATGCGAGCGCCTGCTCAAGCATTGAAGTGATCTAAAATGGAATGCATTGTATTATTGCAGACTGTCTGTTCAATTCCAGCAACCACTACTCCGTACAACCATAAGAACTTCGGTGACCTTGCAATAATACCTTGACTTAGCCTCCAATTTTCACGGCCTATGATGTTCCCTATGATATTCTTTATCCTAAGCTAATTGCCTAATCCGCACGATGGCTTCTTCAGAGATCTGGATTGCTCCTCTGGTTGAACGATTGCTAAACCATTACCTCGACGGGCCAACGAGCGAAACATGCTTAGAAGATGATGGAAGTAACCTACGTTTCGCAGACAATAGCCCTCATTCGGCTTTGATAGTGAAAGTAAGTAAGTCAAACTCAATATCTATTGAGCAGACTTTACTAAAAGTTCATCTTTGCTACCAGTGGACGGAAGACGACAGATCACCCATGCCTAATTTGACGGACACAAATACCCAGATACAAGCGATCCTTGCTCGAGAGTCGCTAGAAGAATATCGTAGGGACTATCCTGACCAACCGTTGATCAAGGATGGTATGCGAGGATATACTATAAACTTATTGGATTTCGAGCTTGTCTTCGAATATACCACATCAGAGCCCAAGCTTCATCTATACGTCAAGCGTTTCAGCATCGCATGGGACAAAAGCAGGTTCAAGGGGCCGCCACAGGGCAGGACAATCAGAAACAAACCTGAGATGTATGACTTGATGCATTCTGCCCTCCAAAAGGCCAAGTCTCGAGAGACTGCCACCACAGATAGTGCGGGCAATGGGAACCGCTCCGATGAGTCGATCAAGTCTCAGGACGGCGAAACAGATGGACTGAACGACTCTCAAAACCAGCTAATGTCCCAGTTACCCCCAAAGCAACCAGTAGAGCTCTTTGCCAGTGCCTTTGCGACTGCGAAGACTCTTCTGGGTTCTTTGAAACCCCCTGCCAGGCCGGCGCAAGACTCACAACAAAAGAAAGACAATGATACGAATGTTGTTGCGTCAGGAAGGGATCATCCTGCTCTTGGCGGAGCAACAAAACAGCCTAATATTAACCGTTGCGCCGCGCGTATCGATGAGTTGTCCGCAGGTTCCTTGGTTTTTGACCCTGGTCTGAACGGCAATGCAATCGTCAAGGAATTTGATCAAACTGATATCGACACGGCTGGTAAAGTAACAGCTAAGTCCGGAATCGGCAAAGCGCCTTTCGAGACCAAGACCCAGGAGAGAGCCTTGACAGATTATAACAAAGAGCCAGACCACGAATTGAACAAAGAGGCAGTCCCTAGCCAGATCGTCCAGAAAAATCATTTGGAACGAGTCGATACAATTGTGGAGACTCTTACAGATGTTCATACCAGCAATGCAGACCCTTGGGATGGTATGACAGAGATTCGGAAAGAAGACATTACTATACCCAAGGATCAGGCAAAGCTGCTAGACGAGCAGGCCAAGCTTTGCTGGCTACCACCAGCCCCTGACCAGGGCTATCCGCAACCCAACGTGCCCCCTTTGCTCCTACAGCAATGGAATGAGATTGCATTCCAAAGAAGTATTCGGGCGGAAGAACGTAGGATCAAGGAGTTGGAGGCCTTGGAGCTTCACGGATCCCGTCCGAGCTCATCGGGTGCTACCAGCTCCTCCGACTCGGCCTATGAGACCCCAAGCGGCGATCGGATCGAATGGTCGCAATCTCCTCGGCGGGGTCGGGACCTACCTGCGGACAGTAGCCCGCCCGAGGCAGGACAGGTAGAGAGGCCAGCTATGGATAAAAGCAATGGAGGAAATTGTCCGTTGGATCAGCCACCCCATGATGTGGAGCAGGAACGACGGACAAACGTTCATCAGGAAATATCGCATGAACAGCAGGAGCTCGAACCTTTGCCAGAAGGTGCACGAGAGTCCCACAGATCTATTGCAATTCCTACCCAATTGCGCCTACAAGCTAGCGGGGAGCCTCTTCCGCAGCTTGACGACGGTGACGATCGAATTCACCTGCAAGAACCCCAAGTTGAGTTTGACCGGATGAGTGAAGACTCGGTAATGGATACGTCTGTTCCTCGTCCGCTGGGGGTAGACCCAAGCCAATCAGAGCAAGAGGTTGGCAGCTCAGACCCATCGCTTCCGGGTTTGTCCACTCAGGTGCAAGTGCAGGTCATGGAAACTCCTGCTGCACATCTTGTTCGATTCCGCCAGCTTACTCAAAGCACAGGCGGTGCAAGCCAGGAGTCGCAACAGCCAGGGCAGTCATCGTCTCCGGCCGCAAAATCATCTTCTCAATCACGAATTTGCAATACCTACCATAGCAATGATGAGGCGAAGAATCACACTGCTCAGGACATGTCGAATTCAACTCAACCGCATGGGACTGCGGAATCCAGTGAACTCAATATAATGGAAACACAGCTCAGCGGTGGGGAGTGGTCATTTCCAGGCACGACTCCCTCGAATTCTGGTCAAGTGTTGAACTCTTCTGGGACAAGGGACCGTGAGCCGAGCGTATTTATCACTGCATCCCCGGGCCACGCAGAAGAGTCGTCGAACCCATTTTCGTCATACCGAGAGGCTCACCCTTCTCTGCAGACAGACGATGGAAATGGAACATCAACCGGCTTTCCCAGCCCCACTCAAGTTACGCCTACTAGGCATCGAATGCCTCGGTTGAAACGAGGCGCATCTGAAATTGAGAGGGAACGAACTCCTCCTTCGAAAAGACCAAAGATGGCGTGTAGCGAAGGCGGCGACTCTGTCCAAGAGCTTGCGTTCAACGTAATTTCGCGTCGAGAAACCTACATCAACCGCTCCGCGGAGCACGCTGAGGCGCAGAAAGTCTACGAGAAGTTTCGGAGTGACTATCCCGACTACGATGGCGACTTCAACCATTTCGCGATGTTGTGTTCCAAACTGCAGGCACTGCGGGCTAAAGGACAATTCCAAAGGTCGTTCCTCTGGGATGATTTTGTTATCATGCACTTGAAGGAATATGAACGTTACCTCCATCAAATCGCGGCAGCTGACGTTAAGATACTGGAGTATGAAAATTTCTTCGCCTCCTATATCTTGAGGCCGTCTTACAAAAAGCGCAGTCTCACAGCGAAAGGGATTGAAATATCTGCTGCGCAGCATGATCGTTTGAGCGCTGCCGGCGTCCCAGCAATCCCACGGCATGAAACAAACACGTCATTCACCGGCAGCCTTGTAGACAGATTCTCCAATTTCCACACGCGCTCCTTTGGACCTGAGACTCCAGGCTCACAGTCTGCAATCACGGTTGATCAACTAACGTGGAGCCCCTCGCCAGCTTCTCTTAGAGAGCCAATTCGTGACTCATCCGCAGAAAGCCGACACATGGTTGAGGAATTACTCGATATGGAACCGACACCTACCAAAGTCAACCGTTCACATGATCCTACTTCCAATTCACCGTCCGAAGCGATGGCTGATCGGCTGGAGCGGCACACGCCTAGGCATCTCGACACATTACAAAGAGGCAACCGCATGGTCGAGGAGGAGGAACCGCATAATACGCAGGCGACGCCTAAAGTCACCCGTTCACGTCACGTCCATGACATTCCCAACCAAACAAACCCTTCACTGGCTAGAAAATCTCTAGAACCGCAGGTAACCAGTGGGGTTCCTCCTTCGTCCGATGTCAATCGCGAAGATGATGACGAGCGCAGCATTCCCGAAACCATCTCCAACAATGACGAAGTCGAGCAGGGCTCGATGGACGAAATCCACGAGAATGCTAGCGTCGAACTTGGCGACGACGAAACTTCCGCCACTCCAGCGGTAGATCAGTCTGACGTCGCCGGATCCGACGCTGTAAGCGAGGCCGACAGTTTTGACGAAGACTGGGTAGGGTGGCATTGCCGCCGGCTTCAAAGCACAGGGCCGTTTTGGTCCGACGATCCAAACACGCCATTCAAGGTATTGGCCCGAGCGGACGCGAACGTGAGGTCCGAGCTACTGCGCCGTGGGATGGCCCGTTTCCCTGTCGACGAGAGAGGAGTCATCCAACCGCTCGTCGACTATCCGCCAATGGTTTCATTGCGCGATTTGCTGGACGGCCCTGCGCCAAGTCCTACGCGTCCGTCAGATGAACCGCAGAGTTGATCTTCCATACCTCCGCTCAGCACATCTGTGTATCGGCTTCCGCCCTTCTAAATGACCTTTCCCCGTCCGCACCTGTATGAAAATATCTTACATTTATTCACTTATTTTGTTTTCTTGCTCCCAAGGTTTGAGGAGGAACGGTCTCGGTGCAGAGTATATACCCTTTGATACAGTGTGGCGTTCAGCGAAAATAGAAAGATGATACCAATCTACACGAAATGGAAAGAGATAGTCATAATCCATGAATTGACAAATAGGGAGGGTATCTATGTCGTAGACATCAATCTATCTCCAGCCTGAAACCATAACCAGGCTCTGTGGCAGCAAAGAAGCAAATCAAGTCAAATCAAGCCACCCGAAGCAATATACAGATAAATCCAGAATCCAGCGCTATCCATATTCGTAATATCTTCGACTCTAACAAAGAAATGTGTCATCGAGCCGTTCGTTCCGCTAATATCAAAAACGCCAGGATGTCGGTGTAGTCTTTTCTGTGGTATATCCATATCAACCCGAGAGCTGCTTACTGATGACCATGTTAGACATGGCGGAACGGCTCGTAGGCGTTGTTCCTCATATTTTGCATCGGAACATGGTTGCCGTGAGCCGGAGGAGGCGGGTACGACGTGGTGCCAAAGGCGGCGGGGGTTTGGTTGGCCTGAGCACCAAGAGGCTCATAGGTATAGGGTGCCTTTTCGGCGGTGACGCCGCGGGTCTTGCCGGAGCCGTGGTAGGGGGAACGGCCGGAGCAGCAGCATGAGGAGATAATCCAGAAGAGGCTGCCGGCGAGGGAGAAGGCGACGGCCAGCCAGGTGGCGACATAGATGTTCTTTCCCATGTAGCCCTTGATGCCGTAGTCCTTGAGAGCCTCGTTGAAGGTGCCTTTCAGGACGGAGAAGAGAGCGGTGGATGTGATGGAGGCGGCGGTGATGAAGAGGAAGGAGACCTTTGTGTTGATGTTAGTGACGCAAATCTAAAGGAATGAAGGAAGGGAAACGTACAGCAGAGACGAGGCTGGTCACGCAGCTACCCCAGCGACTGCAGATAGCAAAGAGACCGACGACGAGCTCGACGATGGTCGCGATAAAGGCAACAATGTAGGCGATGAACATCCACTTGGACACGTTCTTGTAGACATTCAAAGCCTTGGACAGATCGCTCGGCAGGACGTCCTCCACACCGGTATCGTTGAGTTGCCAGACTGTGATGGGGTTGAAGTAGAACTCGGCCTTGGGTTTGGAGCAGTTGCTGGTCTTGTAGTTGCCGCTGCTGACATCTCCGTCGCAGTAGCCCCAGAGACCGATATCGTAGAAATCCTTGATCTTGAGTTGCTTTTGTGCCTCGTCGAGGGCCTTGGCCAGGTCGCTATTCGAGACATCGACACCAGCTGATTCGAGAGCGGAGCTAACCGCCGATGTTACTGATGATGATGACGAAGTGGTCAGGTTTTGAAGATCGACCTGTCGGAAGTTAGTCTTGCATGGATTTTTGGCTTTTCTGCTGGGATAAACATACTCTGAAAAAGTAGAGGTTATTGAGTGTGGATGAACTGGACTTTGTACAGCCCAAGCCGACCATAATGATGCATACTAATGAGGCAATAGTAAGTGCATATGGTGTGAATATGCACGCAATGCGACCGCCTTTGCCCATATTGTGTGTTGGTGATGTGGAGACTGCTGAGTGTTGTCGGATAGTGGATAGTAGTAGCTTCTTTGTGCTTCTTCTTGTTGCGATCCTTGAAATCCTTTGTACAGAGACTTCGATGAAAGAAATCTAAGCTTGAAAGTACAATGAAGTTGAAATGATGATCCAAGAGAGATGGAATGGAACCTTGGATGGTTTTATCGTCTGCTCTGCGACGATCAGGAACAGCCTCAGGCAACAATATCGGAAATTGTTTGGGAGGCGCAGCCAGTGACAGGATCAAGCAGGATCAAGCAGGATCAGCAAGCCAATCAGACGCGAGGAAAACATGGGCTACGCCACGATACGTTTCTATAAATTGATCAGTACTCCGTACCAGATTACGTACTCCCCTAAAATCCTGTAACTGGCGGGATCTTGTACTAGTACGGAGTACCTTAGATGTTTCCACCGCAATCCTGTGGAACCAGCAAATTAGCTGCACTCAAATGCCCAGATGGGGGAAGGGACACGAAAGCCTCGTGGCGGGAGCCACGTCATAAAAGGTGGCTGGGCTGCTGGCGGAGGATTTATCGCTTCGAATCCACCGTTTCATACAGATATCGCAAGAGAGGAGAAAGGAAATGCAGATAACTGACTTGCACTCTGTTTCTCTGTGAAGAGCAACAAGACGTTTAGTAAGGTGCTGATACTCATTAATCAATCTACATGACTCCCTGAAACCAACTCTATCTAGAACTTTAAAGTACATTGTCAGCTCTGAATCAGGTGCTCTACGACGTATCCCACTGTCATTATCTGACTGCTTTCACAATGTAATATTCTCAACTAACTCGGTGAATGTGACAATCTCATAGACGATGTACATGCAGCAGTGTGCTCTCGGCAGATGCTATCATCAGCTGCCCATTCCTCCTCGTAGTCTAGGGCTCTAGTTTTCTTGGATCGGTTGTCTATCCGATTGGGGGCTTAGCTGGAGTTCTATTACTGTCCTGTGAGTATACCCAGAGTGTGGGATTTAAACTCAACTGGTTGGGAGCTGGTATTTGCTATTTTTGACCTAGTAGGAGCTGCTGCGTGAGCGACAGAGACAGAAAAGCAGCGCAAGGGATCTCGATTAGGCTCCTCCATTTCAGTCTTGGCACATATGCACACGGAGTACTAGTAAGTACTCCGTAGATGAGGTTTATGAATCTCAAGTGACTACGCCTCGATTTAGGCATCGCAATTATTCTACAGACCAGATCCTCACTAGCGGCAGTTCGAGTTCAAATCTAGGACAGCTTCTGAAGATTAAACTCAGACAGTGTCTTGATTTAGCCTGGAGCTATTCCATCACAGGAAAATTCGATACATTTAAGGTAGTGTGGCTGTGAAGACTCCTAATGTAGTACTGTGGGCCTAGACACAGTGGACTTAGGGCATGCCACGAGGTTAGGTCTCGCTTCTACAACAATAATATACCAAGGGCATCAGACGATCAGTGACTATCAGAGGATACTATCGAACGCGCAACTAGCGTATTTAGATTCGTATCTATTCAACCCTCTTGTCAATTCAGATATGGCTTCAAGATGTCCAACATCCCAACATAAGCTGCACCACTCGGAGGCTCCATGCTGTACATATAGTTTCCCCACCAGGGACCAGCCGCCCACCAGAGGGCTCCCTTCCACACATCCGTGTTCTGAGCCAAATACTCCAGCATTCCTGAAATAGCAGTCCGGCACTGATCATTGACGCCACCAGCGAACTCACCAATGATGCCAACCTTGCCGTTATCCTTAAGCCACTGCGTGGCAGCCGTGACGCGTTCCTTACCAATCGTGGTAGACACGCAAGTCGCCGAGGTGCCGGATCCGTCCGAGTCGAGGTACTGGTGCATCTCGTAGACGATCTTATCCTGGGGATCGGTCAGAGCCTTCAGGTTGTCATTGACGTCAACCCAGGTCCATGCGCCACTGTAGGAGTTGCCCTCCACGAAGATGTATTGCGAGGTGGCTCCCGCGGCGCGGATACCGTTGATGGCGGCCTGGTTGAGGTTCAGAACCAGCGTCTGGTCCATGTCGTGATACTCGTTGTCTAGCATGTAAGGTCAGTGAAGCCCATAAGAACCAGTTGAGTTGGCCCTACTAGTATCGAAGATGACCAGATTGTTGGACTTGAACTTTCCAGCCAGATTCTGCCAGAAGGTCTTGAAGTCGTCGGTGCTGGAGATAATCTGGCCATTGCTGAGTGGTGTCAGATCAAGTACACAATAAAATCAGGCATTACTCACTATCTGCCATAGTTGTGCGGGTCCAAAACGGCATAAGATCCGGCCTTTGTGACGGCGTTCACAACCTGGTCGAGTCAGCCTGATGCAGTCCTACCTTGCTACTGACCCAAACTTACCGAAGTAAGATTGGCCAGGTACTCCTCATTATAGGAGCCTGTCATAGAGCTTGGCGCCAGTCTCTCCATGAGAAATGGAATGCGAAAGATGTTCATGCCCTTTCCGATCAGTGTGCTGATTGTGGAAGGGTCCGGGAAGATGAATTCTTTTCCCTTGAGGTAGTTAGCAGCAGTATATTTCTCTTGAAATCACAACATACATAAGAGCCAGGGATGGTGTTTTGGCCAAACTCGGCTCCAGACTCACTGGTTCCGAACACTGTAGCATGTCAGCATCCTTTAAACCCAATGTTACCAATCAGCGAACCAACATTGGAAAACTGAAGCTCTCTTCTGCTCCTTTGCAGGAGCAGCCACCGCGGAGCCTGCCGCAGCAGCAAGGAGCACAAGGTTACCGAACTTCATGGTGGCCAAAAGAGAATGTTCTCTGGAGACAAAAAGATCAAGATAAAGAACGACTCAAAAGGAACGACTCAAGCTTGACTTGGTTGCCGAGATTCGAACGAGGGGACAAGACCTGCTATATATCGTCTAGCAAACCGAGTGAACCGAGTGAAGCTAACTGGCCTAAGCTCTGACACTCCTCTGCCCGACATTATTTGTTAGGATCACGGGTCAGACCCCCGAGGATTCTCCACGGCGTCAGAATGAGACTCATGGTCCTTCATCGGTCGATTACGGGGTTGTCGGACCGTCACACAAACTGCAAAGCTTCAAATCATATTCCTGTTGCAAAAACAACAGCATATTGCAGCGTTCCAGACTGCGAATCCAGTATTGATCGACGAGAAACTGGCAAGCAAAGCGGAAATCGAAGCAAGAGATGGGCGGATGATGCCGAATGCCTGGAAGTAGAGAGTAGAGCGTACATGGCTGCTACAGCAAAGTGGATCCAGGAACCCCATGCGAAATCTTGTCCATGATAATCCCACGATTCAGGGATTGTCTTGGCGACTCTGAAACAAGACGGAGATTGGTTTCTTTGACGAGAGGAGGAGAGGGAGCCATTCGGCAGTGATCGTCGCGTCAAATGTTCCGGGTAAAGGACAAAATGGAACACTTCCTCAAACATGCCGTGACATTCTGGGAAAGAGATTGACATTCTGGTATAGAGAAGTTATTGTTCAGCAACCTTGAATATATGTGTAAAACACAAAATTCTTAGAGTGGACCTGAATTGTGCGTGCGACGGGCTTGATTATTGTTGGTCCTGGTTTGACATAAAATATGTAGTATCAAGTCGGCGAAGGCATTAACCCAAAAACGGATTGCTCAAACAAACAAGACAGTAATTGAACCCATTTCAATATTCTGATTGTTGGGCAACAACTTGACAATGTCATCGACTTTCGGTCAACAACTACGTTCAACATTGACATGTTAATTCCTAGTCATGGTCTGTCGCATACCGAACTGCAAATACTGACCAAGCACGCTATGCCAAATCATAGTGCTGCTCCCAGAATCACCACGCACCAAGGGGTTGCCAGACTAGCCTTCGTATCCTGAGCCTGGTGCTGATGATACTTCGTCCCAGGGTAGTAGTCATTCCAGCAGACACGCGAAGAACCGTCTTTATTGATGCAAGTGGCATCAGGGAATCCGTACTCGGTAGGATTGTCGAGAGCCTTGGTCATGAACGACCACGAGTCATAAAGTACCGCGGTGACCTAAACCTGAGTCAGAGCGACAATTACAAGACAGATAAAATAGTACCTTACGCCGGCATTGCTAGACTTGAACCTCTCCACCATGGCCGCGAGCTGCTGATTATAGACAGCTAGATAAGTCGCCGAGTGTTCAATTGCCCAGTCGCCCTGCTTGATGAATATGGGCGTCCGGCCTGTCGGGGGAACATTGATAAAGAAAAATTTGCATACCCCGGAGTTTGTAAATGTCCCCTGCGAGGTCATCAATGGTTGCGCCTCCAACTGCCAGATCGTAGCTCAGGACAAGGGATGTGTTCCCTGCGGTTGTCAGATGTCCGACCCAATTCACGCCTCCTGCCGTTGTTCCAGTACCTGGCTTCATATGAGTAGGGATCTCTGGAACCAAAACCATGAAGTACTCACCCAAGGCTGGATTGCCCATGGGACTGGAGACAGATGGTTGTTCACCAGACGTGCTGAATCCGGTTTGCGAGTAGGAATCGCCACTGCGAGGTCAGCCATACCCTGCTACACGCGCAACAGCACGCAGCATCAAGAACAGGACAGGTGGAGCCTCCTAAATGTAAAGAAGTACGTCGTGTCTGACGCCCGTTTGATGGGGTTTGCAGCATCGGTGGAAATGGTGCTTGCCGCCAGAGCAATTGAGACTTCATCTTCATAACTATGCTCGACAAAGCTCAGTAGACCTTCCGCCTTTCAGTAATTTGTCACCAGGAAGACTTCGTGTATATAAATGGCGACCGTTCTTGTAGCCATTATAAAGGTACTAGAGTCCACCAATCCAACGCCATCCCTTGCGCCGCGCACCTTGGCCTCATCTGTAAGAGTCATCGGTCACAAGTCACAACCCGTGGTATGGTTATTTACCCGGTTATCCTGATTCTGCACATCAGTGACTCGGCGGACAAGACGCATTCGAGTGAGCGCAGTCACAGAACATCAACCCCATATTGCCATGCATAAATAAAACTGCGGGTAAAATATCCGGCAACGAGGATATGATAAGGGAGGCCAGGACTATGACGATCGTCATTACTTTCTTCATCCTGTGTTAAGGCACGTTTCAACTTGTGCCTTGGCTTGCAGAGATGAAACAGCACATAGTCCATAGGGGAGTGGGCTATTCCGCTTTGGTCACGGTAGAATGAGCGAGAACGAAGAAGAGACACAAATGTAAGAAATTGAGGAGTACATTCTTGCAGAACACGAGCTTTGTTGTATCACTGAGGTCAGTGTTGATTCTATGCTGAGGAGAGGTGTATGGACATTGACGGACAGTGAGAACTGGCCAGCCGTCTAGGTATATGTACAAGCAATGAAGCAATTCCCGCTATACTTTTTAACCATTGGAAAGGTCCCAAAAGCTGGGTTCTATAAGAATCAGCCATTACATCGTAACCTGATGGAGCGTGAAGGTGGCGCTAGTTGAGCTGTACGCTCAACAGCTCCATCCCGACGCCGCACACCAGCAACTTCGTTCCTGACTCGTCATGGATCAAGTCCAAAAACGATATATCAGCCACGGCGCTGTACTGATCGACTAAATTCCCAACTCGGATGGCTTCCGGCCCGCTCTGCATGGCATCAACCTCCGCCCACCAGACCTTGACCCGATGATCGTTGCCCGAGGAGGCGAAAACAACTTGCATTTTGCTCTGGCTGTCTGACTGCCGCTGTTCAAGTATCTTGATGGTGGTGACGGAGGCAGCGTGTGCGTCTGGAATCGTGATCGTGCACACATCATTGCCTGCATCTGCGTCGGTGAAGTCTACTGACAATAGAGAAAGTGTGAGCGCATTGTCATCGCCTCCAGCGAGAACCAGTGACGTTGTCGCCGATATACGGGCCATTTCCAGGGATTTGATACTGTTCGAATGAATTTGGTAGCGATTCTCGCATGCAATGTTTGGTGGAGAAATAGATAGCGTCTCCAATGGTTGCTTCAAGCGCAAAGTCGACGCCGATATCAAGTAGTAAGGCTCCAGAACAGGGCTCAAGTGCCATAATGTAAAGTGTCCGTCCGTAGATGCGGTAATAAGCCCGATCGAAGAGCCCTCTACGAGGAACTGTACCTGCGTGAGGCAATTGCTTGTGTAGGCGCCTCGTGCTAGGAGGGTAAAGCGGCCCCCATCGACCAAGGAGGAATAATGGAAGATCTATAATATTAGCAAAAAAATGGATAAAGGGACGAGAGAAGAAGATTACCTTGATCGTGGAGTTTGACAATGTCAGGCAAATAAGAAAGCCACCATCAGCGTCTTCTGTCACGTCCAGCACGTCGAAGCTCGTCACTCGCAGCTCCGACGAGGGGTCATCTTTGGGACTACAGGCTGTGAGAACAGTTGCCAGACCAAACGAGGGAATCTGCCGGAAATTCCAGACAAACAGCTCCTCGAACCCGGCGCTAGAGAAAAGCGTTTTTCCGTCTGTTGACCAGGTAACTTGCTGCACTCCAGCAGTATGGTCTCTAAAAACACGCAGGCATCTGAATGAGCCCCATGGAGTCTCGTTGCGCTCATGAACAGGTGCAAAAATGCGTAAATGGGTATCTTCTGCTCCAGTGGCGATGAGAGTCTCCCGCTCGGGCGTGGAAGGAGATACCTCCATCGACTTGATTTCTCTGCCGTGGCCGCCGGCACGTAAGGCGCGGTTGATTCCCGCCTGTATCCGAAGAGCATTGAACCCGGATTGACTCCAGAGGAGTATCCCAGCCCCGGGAGTCTCATAACTCGGGTGGAAGGCCCACATTCGACGTGCTCCGCCGCAGTCGACTCGGGCCACCGCAGTGTGAGTAGTTTCATTCCAAAGGATAAATTCAGTGCTCTGGAATCCATAAAGCATAAAGTCTCGTGATTTTCGGTCGACATAGATTCCCTCAACGTTCAAGTGCACGGCAGGGGAGGAACGATGGATTGTACGGAGGCGAACATCCGCCCCTCCCAGCGCCTCCAGCTGATGGATGCAGTAATCGCCATCTCGGCCACAGGTCATGAAGTAGTCTGATGGAAGCTCCGCCTCCTCGAACAAATATGAGAACTGGGTGATCTGATTAACGCCCTCTCGACCATGGACTCTCAGAGCGCAAATAATCGGCTGCAGAGGCGCTCCAGTTTCTGCAAGTCTGTAAACCAGGAGTGCACCGCTTTTGATCCCAAAGGCCAAATACTGGTTAGAGATCCAGGAGGCGCAGGATATTTCCATACCATGAGGTAAAGACAACTCTGTCTTGACAACTTTAGGCTCGGCATTCCCTTGCATGGTGACTTGAAAGAGATCTGCTTTTCTAAGTGTTGCATAGGATGTGGCGAAAGTGAGAGTCGTCGAGGCTTCTGATGCGTCATTATCATACTCAAGGAAGTACAATTGCAGAGGTCTGCCATCCGCTTGTACAATTTGGTTCAACAGCCCGGTACCGTGAGTATAGAGTCGAATCAAACCTCGTGCATTGCCAAGCAGCGCCACTCCCTTTTGTGGTAGACTAGAAACTACTGAGAAAGACCGGAGATCTTCCTCAACATGCAGAGTTTCCTTGAAGATGAGTTGTCCTTTACCACTGTCTGTCTGTATCGAACAAAGCTGGATCTCACCTTGGAAAGTAGTCGCAAGGAACAACTCCGGTGAGATGAATGCGAAGGCTTTGAAAGACCTTTCTCTTGCAGGAACTGTGTTTTGAGAATCGCTTGAGACCGCAATGCGATTATCCCTATTCGGTAATAAGATCGACGCCGTATCATCTACGTCTATTTTGAAGCTCCTGACAGCGCCATCTGCACCTCCAGTGTAGATCGTAGTTTGTGTCCCTGAGCCGCACATGTCGAGTGACCAGATATGTTTGCCGCTGTGGAGATGAGGAGACGATAACTGAGACAGTTTGAATTCGGTCTTGTGCATTGGCGACAGACTCCAACTCAGACCCCACATAATACACTTAGCATCCTCACCACGAGACACAATGGCCAGTTTGTTCTGATTCTCCGCCCTGGTGGGCAAGAAATGAACACCCCAAATTCGTGCTGAATGGCCGAAGGCCTTTGCAAGACATGATTCTGAACCAGATTTATCGTCAGTTGTTGCAACGGCACCAAACCCTGTGGTTCGTAGCTCGAAGCCATCTGTCGAGTAGGCAGAAGGATCATGACGGGATGCATGTTCACAGTCCGTGATATCCCATACCCTGACAGTTCTATCGTCACTACAGCTAGCCAAAAGTCTTCCTGGTTGCCCTCCCCGCAAGGAGCAGACAGGAGGTGATATCTGAACGCCGAAAATAGAACCTTCGTGGCCAGTGAAAAAGTGATGGATGGAGCCAACTGCATTGAGAACCAAGGGATCGCTCTCATCGTCGTCTACAAAACAAGACCAGACTATGATCTCGCCAAAGACGGTTCCCGCAGCAATTAAAATGTGAGAAGACGACAGCGCGATAGTGTCAGCGGAGAAAAGAATGGACTTGACACCCGTAACCAGTTGCTGTAGGTAAATCGTGTTGACAGAATGAGAATTCTCTACCACATGTAGACTGAGTGTGGTGTTATGAGCCGTGACCACATAAGCTCGGTCTGCTCTGCTGCTCTGGCTGGGTGAACATCCAGCGAGAATCCAGTCTGGGGCCAAATATTCCGCAGTTACAGCTTGCAGAGAAACTTCCACATCTCCAGAAGCATCATTTCTAGCCAGGGACAAGTCAATGACCCTTAAGGAGCTTCCGCCCCACACCACTAGTCGTGTGTATGGTTTCTCAGCTCCGTGCTGGTCTTGAGTGAGGAGAATGAATCCATGGATATTGTTTCTCCTGAATGTTTTGAGCTTTGCCAGTAGCTGCCCACTCTGCTCTTTGACCACTTGGCAATAAGGCCCTTGACCTTGAATAATGAGCCTTATGTCTCCCAAAACCAGCGCTTTTAGCGCAGTTACGGGGAGGCAGGCATCAATGTGCTGTGTTGCTGGTCAGCACTACGCTGGCAATGGCAAACCTGATATTCCACTAACCTCGAGAGAGGAATGCATTGATGTCACAGAAAGACATCAGTCTTATCTGCTACAATATCTAACTCAAGAATCGCGCATTGATCAATGCTGCATTCGCCGACTTTCCCCCGCGTGGAGACAATTATTCAAAATTCCAGAATTTCTTATCGTAAGTGAGGCGATTATGTAAGACATCCTTATCGGCAATCCATTCCTGAAGCGGGTTAATTACTCACGTGACATCGCGATCCTCGAGTTTCATCAGGTGGCGACGCGAGGTAATTTGTCAGTCGAACGGCAGTATCTTCAGCCGTTGCGACGTTGTTAGGCTTTTCGGCCTGCTCAGTTTGCAGGAATAGCAGGCTGCATATAATGTAAACGCTCTCTGCGACTTTTACATCAGCCATGTTACCTTTTGTGCCGCATATTTCTTGGCAATAGTACCACTTCAGCTGTCTTGTCAGCATGGGTGTTACGGGCTTGTGGACAGTCGTCCAGCCATGCGCTCGGCCTATCAAGCTCGAGACGCTCAACAAAAAGCGTCTCGCAGTTGACGCGTCTATCTGGATATATCAATTCCTCAAAGCCGTACGAGACAAGGAGGGTAATGCTCTACGTAATTCCCATATTGTTGGTTTCTTCCGTCGAATATGCAAGCTGCTGTACTTCGGCATTAAACCGGTGTTTGTTTTTGATGGTGGAGCTCCCGTCTTGAAACGACAGACGATTGCCGGCAGGAAGAAGCGCCGGGAGGGCCGCAGAGAAGATGCAGTGAGAACTGCTGGGAAGCTGCTTGCAGTGCAGATGCAGCGATCCGCAGAAG